CTTCTCCTAAACTACCAATTTGATAATGCAGGATGGTCTTTCTCAACATCCTGAAAACCATCCCTTTGAAATGTAGACATCCATTAAGATAGGACCCCTATCGTTCAGTCTCTATCCTCTATCAGATGGCAGGAAGTTAACTTCTATGAGAGTCAATTACACAGATGGCCTGATCACACTGGCCAACCTCCCCTTCCCCCAATGTGTCCCCCAGTACTTTTTTTTCACTAACTAAGATATAACTAAGATGATTTATATCTTCCCTGCCTTCCCTAACAAGCATCCAGTGCAATTTCTCTTTGCCACATTTTAATAAAATTATTTTGCACTGTCATTTTATTTATATAGCTGTGAATTACTTATACAAATTACATATTTTTAAAGAATAAATTTCACCATGGTGTAAATTGCGAGGATTTCCCCCCCCCTAGAATAGTGGGAATTAAGCCTACTGATACTTCCTCCTCAAAAACTGTTGCATTCATGCATGTCCACATCAACAATCTTGTTTCTCTCTTACATGATGGGTCACACCTACTCAGTCTACTTTGCAGTCTTCTCTTTCTTTACTGAATCCGTAAATATTGTTATTCCCAAAGGTTGTGCCCTGTGTTCTTTTATATTCTCACTTTATATTTTCTTCCTGCGTGACATTATGCACGCAACAAATAAATATTAACTATGAAAGCTCTAGTAAGTCTAAAATCTCTATTGATGGGGAGCCTGGTGGCTTGGTCGGTTAAGCGTCCGACTTCGGCTCAGGTCATGATCTCACGGTTTGTGGCTTTGAGCCCCACATCAGGCTCTCTGCTGACAGCTGGCTTAGAGCCAGGAGCCTATCTTCGGATTCTGTGTCTCCCTCTCTCTCTGACCCTCCCCTGCTCACGCTGTCTCTCTCTCTCTCAGGGATAAATAAAACACTAAAAAAATAAAATAAAATGATAAAATCCCTACTGTTAAATTCAATGGGATCTTTTCTTTTCTGCTTTTACCTGTACCGTAAGAAGAAAATAAGGCAGGTAATAACCCCTTCCTCCTTAGAACACTTTTTTTTGTGGTTTCTACATTACCATATTTTCCTGGTTTGCAAAGTTCATTTTCTAGTGTGTCCCAACCCCCAAAACACTAGTATTGGACCAGATTTGTCTTTAGACTGATTATCGACTCTTTCCATACTCTCTCCTAAAGAGATCTCCTCACACTGCAATGTTTTAAATATAACATGCAAGGTTAATAAATTCAAATGTATATCCCCAGGGAATTATAGAAAAAACACTTTATTTCAAGAACTATTGTCTTCACGCTTTGTTCATTTACTCAAGTCGTTATCATTGGGAACTACACTGTATGTTTTCAAGAATACAAAAATAAACTCACTCACTGTTCACAGGTATCTTGGAATCTAGAAAACATGCTAAACTTAGAGATGACACATTTCACAAATATATAAGATCTATTCAAACTAGGAATAGAGAGGCAACACAATATAATGGTTAGATGCATGCATTCTGATCCCAACACTTAGGATAAAACCTCTCTCTACTTCGGAAGTAACCATTTCTCTGGACCTCTTCACCTGGAAAATGAGGCACATGATATATTTTGCTCACATTTTTTTAAGAGTTTTTGAGGATTGGTTTAATGTTAAAATGTTGCTAGAATCATGTCTGGGGCATTATAAATATATATTTGTTTATTTGTATTTTACTTATTTATTTTTTTATTTTAGTATTTCAAGGTTTTTTTAAAAAAGAGTTTTAAGTTTATTTATTTAGGGAGAGGGGGCAGAGAGAGAGAGCATGAGAAGGGGCAAAGAGAGAGAGAGAGAGAGAGATGCCAAGAAGGTTCCGTGCTATCAGTGCAGAGTCCAATGTGGAGCTAGATCTCATAAACCAAGAGATCATGACCTGAGCCAAGATCAAGAGTCAGATGCTTAACCAACTGAGCCACCCAGGGACCTTTCAGGTTTTTATTTAAATTTTAGTTAGTTGACTGATGATGTAATATTAATTTCAGGCGTAAATTTTAGTAATTCATTACTTACATATAACACCCAGTGCTCATCACTGGTGCCTCCTTCATATCCATCTAGCCCATCCCCCCCCCCCACCTCCTTTCCAGTAATTGTCAGTGTGTTCTCTGTAGTTAAGACTCTCTTATGGTCTCTCTCTCTCTCTCTCTCTCTGTCTCTCTCTCTCTCTCTCTCTCTGTCTCTCTCTCTCTCAGTCTATCTTTTTTTCCCCTTTCCCCTAAATTTATCTGTTTCGTTTCTCTAAAACAGTTTGATTATGTGGCATGTGAGCTCAGTTTTGCAGTAGGGGCATTTCAGAAAGAAGGGTTGATATGAACAAAATTCTAAAGTAGAAGCTGTAATTTATATTTTGCAAGACAATTCAGAGTATGAAGAGGAAAATATATATTTTTTAAAGCAAGATAGATAAATTGTGGCCAAATCAAAGAGAGTGTTAAATACCAGACCAGTAAGTTTTATGCTTTCATGTGGCAGTATTGGAAAATCCACTGAAGATTTTAAGCACCAAAGTCAGAAAACTGTGTTGTAGGAAATTTCACCTGCTCTGCCCTTCGCTGGGCAGAATGAATTCATGAATTCATCTTTGCCCTAATGCCTGAAACCTCCTGTGATCATGGATGGTGTCACTGTCGGTGACCAGTAGGTAGAAAACAAAACAAAACAAAACAACAACAACAAAAACACCACAAATACTCTTCTCGAAAGAAGTGAGTATTCCACAATATTACAAATGTCCTGACTCCTGAGTTCTTTCCTATGAGCCAGAATCGGTGAAAAGAAGGCAGGCTCCACTCCCTGTAAAGACATGAGTAAACTCTCATGCAGTGGTGGAGGGAGATAGTTCGTACTAGAAATGTGTATTGGCATTTTGTCACATGGTGCAAACGTTGAAAAGGTTATTATAAACATGATTGATTACAGTTGTTATAAACAACAGCTGAGGAGTTAGAATAAAGGCTCCAGTGTGATCGCCAGAGTGAGGTAGCATTGTCCTAGAAGTTTTTATCATCTAAGTCTAGGGCCCTGGCCTCAAGTCTCTTATGATATGAATTGTGTTGTCTCCCAGATCTCCTCCCCATCTCAGCCCAGCTAAGATCGATGAACATGGAACTTTATTGGGTAAGTGGAATTACCACCCTGGACATTTTTAAAAATAAGTGTAGGGAAAATGAAGTAAATTAAGCTTATTTTTTTAAGTTTGGAAATAAGTTGTTTAATCAGGGAGACTCTCTGAATACAATCACACTTATGTAAAGTTAGAAAATATTTAAATTTTAAAGTATTTAGGTTATAGTAAACTATAAAATGTAATTTTGCTTATAATAATTGTAAAAATACAAGTCATCTTAAATATGGAAATATAAGATATATTTAGAAAGTTGTAAGATATATTATTTCTGAAATTATTTTAATTTTAAGCTTATGATATTTGTTGATGTGTCCAGGTAGACAGATGTGTTTGAAAAGTTTGAGAAAATCAGATATGTTGAATTTCCAAGTATACAGTCTATAATTCCAAGTTCAAAGAAACGTCTAAACTCAGTTTTTGTAAGAGTCATGGGTAACAACCATGTCATTTGTATTCTGTTTTTGTGATTCGTTTTACACTATATTGTCTGTTCATAGGTTTCTATGTTAGTTTGATTTTGGATCTAGGGGGTGGTGCCTCACAGTGGGAGTCACTGAAAATTTTATATTAACATTTTGCTTTATCAAAACCTCTGAATCCTAACCAAGTCAAAACAAGTAGCTTCAGTTTAAATTCATTTGTATATTTATATAAGTTTATTATTATTTTAAAATTTGTAAATGCCTTAGGCAAGACTTGAGAATTACTTCTGGAATAAAACACATTCTAAAATAAAGATAGTCAAATAAATTTCAGAAGACATTTTAAGTTCTACTAATGATTTCCATTATGTTACAGTTGAAAAATCCATAACAATTTAGGAATGTTTAATTCTTAAAATATGTTTATTTCTCACAATAGCAAGTATCTAAATATAAAGGATAATGTTGGCTATTCTTATTCATTGGTAGAAAATTAAAATTTCAATTTTTATAAAATCCAAATTGTCTTCAACTAGCTTTGTTGATAAATTTAAATCTGAGAATAATTGATTTTACAGTAAATATATATACACATAATCACTTACATACATATATACACATACATACATTCAGTATTCTGAAAACTAGTTTATGCATTTTTAAAAATGTTTTATGACATTTAATAAGCTTCTACAATTGCAAATGACACTTAAACAATTTTAAGGTTATTGTGTAGTGGATCTGAAAACAAAGAACAATCTATTTCTAGCTCTACTTTTTGAAAATCAAGAGTGAGTTTCACAAGCCAAAATATGTGAAATAAATAATAAAGTCAAAAGAAAGAAACAAAGAAAGAAACAATGAAACCAAAAAAGAGGGAGGAAATGATTTTGAAGTAAAGATGATGTATTTCAAAATAAGAATGCTTTCTATTCTTTACATAGCTAGCAATTAATTTGAAATTAGGTTTCTTTGGGGTTAATATGTCTGATATAATAGTTATAAGCTACAGAAAAATTCCAGCTCTTTCTCTTCATGTTTATGTTTATATATCATGTTACTTTATGTGGTGATGCATGAAAAAATAAAAATTCATTAAAATGTGATTATTTATCCCATAGAATTACAAAAAAAGAATATTGCATTGACAAAGTATAAAGGTTTTACTATGAATCCCCAATGTTAGCAGATTTTTCAAACATTTGAGGAATCTGGAAGTGGAAAGCCTAAAGCTTCCATTTTAATTTTTTTAAGAAGAAATTTAAATTATATAGAACTTACAACATAAAATCATGCAGTTCATACAGTTAAGTAAAACTTACTTTTATCATTGCAAAATGGGAGGAATCATAGCAAAAGTTATTATATATAATATATGGCAATGTTTAGATATTAGCAATTTATTGCAAGTCCTTACCTGACCAGAGACTGCATTTTCACAAACATACGTGTCATAGAATTCAGAGAACTCAGGAGCATGATCATTAATATTAAGAACTTGCACATACACAGGGACTGCGGAAACTTGTTGCACATTGTCTGCAAATTGAATAAACAGAATAAAAATAAAGAATGTTAACGCTGTCTTTGGGGGGATGAGGTCATGAAAATGACATTAGAGACTGGGTGGCATATTTCTATTATCCTTGATTAAAAGACATCTGTGCACATGATCCCTTTATCAATCATATATTTTCCAAAAGTAGCCTAGGAAATAATGCCCCCAACATATTCAACCCAACCAATACGAATCAAGTGCCTTTTACCTGCCATAGACTCTAGATAGAGCTGATAAGGAAGGACTGAAAAAGATGGACAGATGTAGGAACACTTCCTAAACTCTAACCACTGGTGAAGATATATATATTAATAATATGTATTGTGATGTATGTGTATAATATGTATATTAATACATATGATTCTAATAAATAAAACATTATTATCCTCCCCAACTTTACTGATAAAAAACATTGAGAATTTAGTTCCACAAATTACAGTTAAATGGCTGGCCTACAGTTACAGCTGAAGTAGAAAAGGCAGTTTAAAAATCCAGCAATAAGTGCTCTAAATGATAGCATTGTTCGGTCGAGTATTTAAAAACAAAAAAGGACAGAATAAGGATCTAAATACATTTGAAAATAAAATAATTACAATAAAATCTAGGTAAAGTTTTATGGATACATTGAATTGGGAGGATTTTCTGAAGTGAGTCAAGAAATATAGAAACTGTGAAGGAATGGAAATATATAGTTAAAAACATATTTTAAATGTGCCCCCCCCCAAAAAAAAACAAGTTTAAAAAATCAAAACAACAAAACACCATTGATCTGGAAAAATGTTTGCATCATTACATGAAATTTTAATAATTCTAATTTTCAAATTCTGACAGCTGGTATGAAAAGAAAAACTACAACAATTTGGGGAAATAATCATAAGCCAGAAATTCACGGATGAGAATGAAAATTCAAATCATCGATGCCAGGGTTTTCAACCTCATCACTCTTGATATTTTGGAATCTAGATAGTTCTGTTTTTTGCCGGGGGGGTGGGAGGGGCTGTCCTGTGCTTAACACTATTCCTGACTTCCACTAACTAAATGCCAGTAGCATGCACGACCCTAGTTGTGACAATCAAAGTTGGCCTCAGACCTTGTCAAAGGTATTAGGCAGCAAAACTGGGCACATTTGAAACATGCTATGGTCCAAGGCACTCATACATACAATAAAAGACTCTATGATCCGATCTATTTAGTCTACTTTTTTTTGCATCTCAAATAACTGGAAATAATCCAAATGCATAGCAAAAAGGAACTGAGGAATAAATTACAACCATACTATGACATTTTGTGTGCTTATTAAAAATGGATGAGTTAATGTAATAAATGTATCAGTTTCCATGAGCTTTAAAAATAGATTTTAATCTTGATTATCAATTTAAGCAAAATGCTCTACGGCTGTCTCAGTTGCTCTTCTGTAAAATGAAAAAATACTAGTAACTTCCCTTACAGAGATGTTAAGAATATTAAATGAATTAAAACATATAAAGCATTTATAAGATTACTTAGGATACACATAAGCAGTAAATATTAAGTATTATGAATTTATTTATCTGCTAACCAGGGGTGATAGACACAGCATTTTGTGAACTGATTAAAAAAGCAAATCGCAGCATGATATATGTATATTTGCATATCATTATCTTAAATGTTTTTTTGCTTAATGCTGTGGGAAGGTACTTATAATTAAAGAGCAAGGGAAGCATGGTATCTTTGTTGTTTTAATTTCTTTATAATATCCTGTTCTTCTATGATTTGAAAAGCATTATATTTGCAATGGCAATTTGTAAGGGCAAATACATTAAGAAAACAATAACGAGGGTTACTTCTCCCTGTCGAAAATAAAGGTAAAGATGTCCCTCTTTCTTCTTCTTAAACCATTTACTTTAGGAAACCTGTGATTTGTATTCTCTGTTTTTTTGTTTTGTTTGAAATGTACGTAACCCTTTTTATTTTATTTATATATTTTTTAAATTTATTTCTAGGAGAGAGAGAGAGAGAGAGAGACAGCGTGAGCAGGGGAAGGTCAGAGAGAGAGGGAGTCACAGAGTGAAACAGGCTCCAGGCTCTGAGCTGGCAGTCAGCACAGAGCCCGACGCGGGGCTCGAACCCACGAACCAAGAGATCATGACCTAAGAAAAAGTCGGACGCTTAACCGACTAAGCCACCCAGGCGCCCCTATACGTAACCCTTTGAAAGCTAAACACATGTCTTGGCAACTTTATATCCCAGGCCCACCTTCTTACGGGCTGGGAGCCAACTCTTTAAAATATAATTATCAAGGAAAATAACCCTCCTTCCTCCCAGTTTCTGTTGGAAGGTAGGAGCCTAACTTCAGCAAAGGCTTTGACCCAAGTTCAAAACTACCTCTTCTCCTAAAAGTATGAGAAATTTAGTTTTCTTTTGGATAAAAGTGGGTGGCAAACACAGATGGTCATGCCGACCACCTAGTGAACATAGAGTGAACTCTGTGTGACACGTGGTGTTAAGTCTTCCTACTTGAAGGCTAGTACTTGGTTATCATGGGAACATGATGCTCAGTTCTATACTAGGGCGAAATTTCTTTCAGTCTTAGAAATCTCAACAGATTCCTGTAACGTACATCAAGCTCCTGGTTAATACTTTTCAGCTATAAAACTGGTTTCTCCCTATTCCACTGGGATAGAGCTGTTTTCTGAATCGGTTTGAGACTCTGTTTGTAATTATTTTTTTCCAGTAAATAACAGTTGCAATTATGATAAAAAGTGTAATTTCCAATTAATTAAAATTATAATCTGCCTGGTTTAGGACATATCAAAAAATCCAGCCTTTACCATTTATCACCTTAAGGCTTACTCTAAAAATTAGCACCTTGAGATTCTTGTCTGTTGTTCTTATTTTCAGGATAAAACTAGGTAAATAAAACATTATGATACAGTTGTTTCTAGGTATTCCAAGATAGAATTATTCAAAAATTAAGGCTTAGGAAGCCTGGGTGACCCAGTCAGTTGAGCGTCTGATTCCTGATTTCAGCTCAGGTCAAGATCTCATGGTTGGTGGATGAAGTCCTTCCCTGGGCTCAGAGCAAACAGTGCAAAGCCTGCTTAGGAGTCTCTCTCCCTCTCTCTCTGCCTCTCCCTGGCTTGGGCTCTCTCTCTCTCACTCTCCCTCTCTCTTTCAAAATAAATACATAAACTTAAAAAAATAGAGCTTATATTTTTTATGGTTTAAACATGTAATATATAGCCACAGAACAAATTTTTATTTAAGTAAGTAAAACAGAAAAACTATTTCAGCTACAATTTTTTTTTAAGTAGTGAGAAATTCATTTAAGGGTTTCATCTTTTTTTTTTCCTGGAAAATCTGTTTAAACTTAGGTTTAAAATTGGTATAACTACATAAAATATACACATGTTTTTATAGCTTCATTTAAGAGTACTTAGTAGTTTTATTCACTTACATGGCATGCTGATAAATAGCTTGGTGCTTAATTTGGGAATGTTTCCAGGAAAGAGACTAAGCACAATGAACTTCATTTGCTAGAGAAACAAATGTTAAAATGAACATCTCTCCTATAATCAGCATAACTGTTACATTGTAAGCTTTATGCTATGCACCCTGTGTAGCAAGTGTATTTAATGACAATTTTGTGATTCCCAGTTTCCCACCGTCCAGGTGCTCTGTTAATATTACTGTTGAGACTTATATGGTCAAACAACTATTTTTTATATTGATAAGAAATTGGCACATGTGAACATTTTCTCCAAAATTGTGTGAAATGAGTTTAATTTTGTGGAATAAGAAAAAATCCCAGAGAGAGAGAAAAAGTACATGATTATTGGTTACTTGTGTTATGAAAGTTCCTTCTAACCCACTTTTTAAAAGATGAAACAAAATTTTAAAACATCTTCAAGGATGAGTTAAATGTACACTAACTTTGGGGACTTCTGAAAATATTTATCTACTCATATTTTATTTTGGTATTTCATTCCCAATCATGTAACTTTTCAGCTCTATAATAAAAATAACAGTGGGAATATTAAGTCTCTTTTATCTAAAAGTATTATTTTTTAGTCTAAGAAAACTGATTTAAAATGCCAGGAGCAGATCAGCATGAACTGTATAATTCCTGTTCTTGATAACATTTCTAATCACTTATTTCTGAAACAGTGATTAACTTCTAAGTAGTAAATTCTGTGTAAAATAAATGTATTCAGTTTATATTCAGTTTGCCTTTCACAGGCATTTACAGGTTTGTTTTCCTTGACTGCATTTTAAATCTTCTTTTTATATAATTATGTGTTTTAATACAATATTCTATGATCCACAAATTTTTAAGTGTAAAAATCTACTAAATAAATTGGTACTTTTTGTATCAAGTGATCAACTTCAATGCTGATCTAATCATGCCTTATGAATTTCTGTATCTAAAATTACATATCTATTAAATCCCTTGTTTTATTCTATATTTGCCTGAATTCATTGGAAACTCTATTTACTTGCTTTTCCTCAAAAGAATTAAAATGTTTTCAAGTCCACACTATTTATTGTTTTAAAATGTGACATATATTTTAGATGTCACATCTAAAATCATTTAGATGTTGCCATCTTCAAATATAAAACACTTATTATAATATGCATATATTCTGGCTTTAATGTTCCAAGAGCAAATTTATTTTTAAAAATATGTTTTTAACATACTTTTGCCCAATAAGACAAAGTCTTATTCTTCAATATCTTGTTCTTTAAAATCTGTTTAAAAAATTAATCATCCTCCAAACTCCCTTTTAATGACTATACCACACATTTCATTTACCAGCCCTGCAATTAGCCACACATACTTTCACCAACAAATGAACATGGTTGAAACAATAATACAGAACAAGATGAGCAAATGTCAGAGAACAGTCAGTATAAGTATCAAAGGAGAATCTGGCTAACATACTTACGGAGATGATCGATATTTGGCCCTGAGAAGTCGTACAATACAAACAGATTTAAATTCCATGTTTGAGTCATTAATTGAAATAATTTGGTATTTAAACTCTATTTTTTAAGAGTAAAAATGGAAAAATGAAATTTGATTGAGATTATTGTGCACATATGTAAATACTAGGGCACCTGGGTGGCTCAGTCAGTTAAGTAACTTCGGCTTGGGTCAGGATCTCATGTGGGTTTGAGACCCAGGTTAGGCTCTGTGCTGATAGTTCAGGGCCTGAAGCCTGCTTCAGATTCTGTGTCTCCCTCTCTCTCCACCCCTCCCACAGTCGTGTTCTGTATTTCAATAATAAATAAACATTACCAAAAAAGAAAAGAAAATACTGAGAGCAAGTATCACTTTTCACATTCTCAGTAAGAGACAGAGCGGCATAGTGTGGCAGAGGATAAAGACATAGACTTAGAAATAAGATGTTATTGTGATCAGTCCCTGGCTTCATCATTTAGGAGTTGGGCAAATAAACTACAGAGTTTCAGAGTCATCTTCTGTGAAATAGGAATAATGTTTGCCACAAATTTTTATTAAGAGCCATAAAAGTGCTATTAAATGTAGTTTCACACAAACTATATATGCATATGTGATTCTAAAAGTAATCTATTTAATAAAATATAATTTCTGAAAACTTACCAATACAACCACCTTACAAAATATAGGTTTTAAAAACAAATATCTAAAAATGGAAGTGACAAAGCTGTATTTTTTTTTCCTGGTGACTCACAAATGATAGCCAGTTTTTACAGCCATTGTTACTGCCTCTTTATTTTCCCTTATATATATTATACATCTATGGCCTTTAGTGTAAACCTATGTGATAAGTAATACTGTAAACTGTGAATTGGATCAGTTTCATTGCCTGAATATTAAATGCGTACACACCCACGCACATATATAAAATTACATTATATAGAACATTTGGAGCCACTGTTTTCCTTAACATGGTGAAGCCTGTTGACCATCTGGTAAGGAGAAATAGTTTGGTAAGAACACAAGTCTCATCTGATTGCATTTGTTGTGCCAGTCACTGAATCTTGGGATATCACTTCTGAACACAGTATGTAGGCAGTGACATAGTTAAATTGATTAATTCATGTACTTCTTGGTATATATGTAAATGTACACACATATGTTGAATTACTAATCTTTATGGACAGCAGTGATCTTGCATCCCAGAGATTTGTGTGCTCTTTTTGCTTCATTTTGTGATGCTACTATTTACTTCCGTGGTCTTAAAAAAGGGTGGGGGGGGTGAGCAGCAAAAAATTTCATCAAACAGTATCTCTTTAGAGGTCTTCATGTCATCCTTTTGATAAAAAGCAATCATGTAATTAATGGGTTTGAGTATAGTTGGATTATTTTGCAAGCTTTTCATACCCATCAGTCATTCATCCTTTTTTGTATCCATTCATAAAAAGATTAGAATGCTTTGTGTCTCAGAGTACACACAATACATTTTAAAGATTCTGCTTTCTAATAACTCACATTGTAGTACTTCTAATATAACAAAAAGTAAATGATATATCCTTATAAATATTTTCCCTAATATATAAAATAAGCTTACTATTTCTACAAATTTATTAAAACATGTTCTTGTAATAGCTTAAAAACTATTTCAGAGAGAAACACATTTTTCAAAGCTGTCCACTCTTCCCTTGAACAGATTTGAAATCTTTTTCTCAATAGCTTTGTAAATAGTGATATTATAAACCATTTGTTCTCTGAAAGCCCAATGACTAAAAGCTTCTTGCTTTCAAAATAAGCATCTTTGTGTTTTCTGACACCAAGAGCCTTGGCATTTCTTCCTTTGCAACAGATGTTTATTCCCTGTAACATTTGCTCCTCATCTTTTCTTGTTACGTTAAATGGAAAATTCAACACCCAGACTCCATTTTCCTGCCGTGTTTCCATAGAGCTATTCAATGCAAGACAAAGAAATATGCAAGAGACACTTCCCACCTCATCATGTCACCATCCAACTGCTCAATAAAGTGAGGAATCAGATATATATTTAAAGTGAACAAGCCACAGAAGCAAACAAGATTATTAAAACTTATGCAAAACAGGTTAAAGGATGCATTCTAGAACATTTTGTATTCACAAATTTAATTCCTAACTGAACTATAGGAAACCTACCAATTAAATAAAAGTAATGATTTCGATAATCTTTTATATTGTGTTATATCTATTCCTTGGAGCTTGAATTAATTAATATGGTTGGCTTAATAACAAATTAATTGATAATCATGAAGACACTATCCAAGCAGTAAATTAGGATGATTTTTATCTACTTTTTACAACCTGAACATGGAATCATCTACATATCTCCGAAAACAAACAAACAAAAAACATAAAAAAAACCCACATCAAACAATACTGGTCACCACTGATTACTGAAGATGTGACTATCAACACAAGTTTCACTATATGTTTAATTTGAAAACATTACCATTTGTGATGTACCAATGGATGTTTGCTGTTGGAATCCTTCATATTCTTTCTCATATTTTCATTGGTATATGATTATTTTTAAATATCTAAATTCTTAAAGACTGTGTTGGAGTGTTATCCTGTCCCTAATGTCCAAGAGTATAGCTAACATTTTGTTCCAGAAATAGAACAAGGCACGGGCATTCTGTATGTGATTTCTAGAATAGTCCCCTGTGAACTAATAGAATCAGTCTAAACTGATTATGGTTAAATGGTATGATATTACTAGTCAATTTTAAATGACTTTAAATTTAAACTTTTAATTTCCACTCATTAGGTTTACTACTCCTTGGATAGTAGTAAAACAATGTATAACATTAATTAAACATTTCTCTAAATTAAAAAATTTGCTCTCAGGGAAAGATTCCTATGCAATAAAATTATAACTTCTTTCCACCCATAAATACATTTTAGGGATGGATATTTTTCTGTGTGTGGAATGTATGCAAGACTTTCTATTTTCATTCAACTTACCTTATAAGAGGACCCATAGAAAATATAAATTAAATATATCCCAGTTAAAAGAATTTGCAAAAACTATATTCAATTTGTCATAATAAAAAGTCTTAAAGTATTTAGTGGCAAGTATATGTATATTTTTCCATCTTTTTATTTAAATTCTAGTTAGTTAACCTATAGTGTAATATTGGTTTCAGTAGATTTTACTGATTCATCACTTACATATAACACCCAGTGCTCATCCCAACAAGTGCCCTCCTTAATGTCCATTGCACATTTATCTCATTCCCCTACCACCTTCCTCCATCAACTCAGTTTATTCTCTATTGTTAAGAGTCTTTTATGAATGGTTTGCTTCCCTCTCACTCTTTTTTTCCTTGCCCTATGTTCATCTGTTTTGTATCTTAAATTCCACATGAGTGAAATCATATAGTATTTGTCTTCTCTGATGGCTAGAGTGTATTATGCCAAGTGAAATAAGTCAGTCAGTGGTAAGTATATGAAGAAACTGTAGTAGGATTGGACAGACATTGGTAATCTAAAATAATAGAATAAAATACATATATGTGAATTTTGACATATTATGTATCATTTAATTCCAAGGCTAACAGCGTTTTAAGCTAATTTTCCCTCCTACATTTGGAGATTATTGAATGGTTTAAAATATATGGTGAACCAATGTGTGGTTCCTAAATGACTACTTACATTCTTCTGTGGCTGTAATACTTAGGTTGTACCAAGCAGTAATCTCTCGATCAAGAACACTGGTTGTGATGATTGTGCCATTGCCATCGACACTGAACGCTTTGCTTCTCATAATAGAATACCTGCACCAAAAACAGCATCACTAAATTTTATTATTTTGTCTGTGTAACTGTGATAACATAAACTATTTTAATGCAATAAGACAAATTAAATGCATGCTCTCTATAGCTAAGTTATGAAATGCCTAACAGCTTTTAGAAAGGTGCATATATATACTTAAGATTTAACTCAGTGAGGATAAAAGACTAAAATGATCTCAGATTTAAACTAATGTATGCTAAATCTAAACACATGTAATTCATTCTCATTCCCGAAAGACAATTTTAATAAGTGAATGATTTAGTTAAAAATAAGTGATAAAATGGGGCACCTGGGTGGCTCAGTTGGTTTAAGCATTGGACTCTTGATTTCTGCTTAGACAATGATCTCACAGTTCAGGGGTTCAAGCCCAGTGTCAAGCCCAGTGTCAGGATTTGCGGTGACAGTGCATAGCCTGCTTGGGATTCTCTCTCTCTCTTTCTCTCTCTTTTTCTTTCTCTGTCCCTCCCCTGTTCTCTTTCTCTCTATGAAGACAAATAAACTTTAATGTTTTTTTATTTATTTCTAGGAGAGAGAGAGAGACAGCGTGAGCAGGGGAGGGTCAGAGAGAGAGGGAGTCACAGACTGAAACAGGCTCCAGGCTCTGAGCTGGCAGTCAGCACAGAGCCCGACGCGGGGCTCGAACCCACGAACCACAAGATCATGACCTAAGCGAAAGTCGGACGCTTAACCGACTAAGCCACCCAGGCGCCCCAAGACAAATAAACTTTAAAAAAAATAAATGGTAAAATGCCATTTGCAAAACACAAATAAACAGGGGTAAAAATTAATGCTTGCTAATATTTGTTTTTATCTTCGAAGCAAGGTAAAGCATATCCTCACCCTATACTCTCTCACACACACACACACACACACACACACACACACATATATACATACATATGGATGGAATATGCTGTTGTTAGAGCATGCATGGAAATAAGCCAGATAATAAAATTCTCTAGTGCAAAAACCTGGAAACTGATCTCAAACTCCACAATGAACGATGCCTTTGAAGTACTCAGCATGTCTTATCCGCTTGCAAATGATTAATAATAAAGATTAAGGAAGAGTAATAATTTGGGTTCAGTGAGGACTCCTCATTGCACATATATTCCTGAAGACTTAGATGAGACATCAGTAAGGTTTTCCATAATTATGTGGCAAGAGATGAGAATATTTTAATCTTGAATTGACAGGTCTCTAAAAATATCACACTGATTTCCAAACTGGTGTTCAGGGGAGAATTAAAATAGAAATTACAGAGAATTAAGCTTTAGGGGAATTTGGTTTTAACTCTATTCATTTTTAAACTTTCAATAAGCAATTTACTTACATATCCGTAAATGGTCACATTTCCTACTTAAGAGATTTGCTGACAGAAAGCACACAACCGTAGTTTGACAGTTAGTATTTTGTATTAAAAATCTAGAATATCCTGTTTCTATAATAAAGCATTCCAACTAACCTGATCAAAATTTGAAAACAAAATTTCAAATAAAAGTTTTTAAACATTATGACCTAGACTTATCAGTCACATTTTAAAGAATAGTCAATATACACCATTTGGGAAAGAAAAGATGTGTGCAAGAGATTTTTGAAAGAGCTGGAGCGAAAAGGCTTAAAATGTGAAGTTTTGATGTGTAAAAGATCAATCTTTGGTTCATTCCAGAATTCCTCTCTATGGAACTCTTTATTCCTACAAAAATGCTGAACGAATAAAATGTCACTGCATGATTTTCCCAACGCTCACAGCTCTTGCCTAAATGAAATAAACAAAGGGCTCTTCCATACATCCTTCTCCAGATGCCTGTGTCTCTCATTCTTACCCCTCACATGCCTCTACAGAAGTACTGTTCCCACGTCACAGACAAAGCAACTGAGACACATGAAAGCCAATCCCATAAACAAAAGCTAGATTTTTCCAAATAGGTTCCACTGGGTGTTTCAAGGATTTGTAGGTGTTTCAGTTAGTGCACAGCTGAAACACATTTAAAGACAGTTCTTGGGGCGCCTTGTTGGCTTAGTTGGTTAAGCGTCTGACTTTCGCTTAGGTCATGATCTCGCGGTTCGTGGGTTCGAGCCCCGCGTCGGGCTCTGTGCTGACTGCCAGCTCAGAGCCTGGAGCCTGTTTCAGTCTGTCACTCCCTCTCTCTCTGACCCTCCCCTGCTCACGCTGTCTCTCTCTCTCCTAGAAATAAATAAAACATTAAAAAAAAAAAAAAGACAAGACAGTCCTCTTCCACAGCAGAACGTCCCCAACACCCTTGCATAGCCACAAGGCTCTTCCTGTTTCTCCCTGTTTCTCACATGTGAGTTCTCGAATTGTTTATCTTTGTATTGGAATTTTGGTAGCTCCCTTGGTGGGATTTCAAGGAATTCCTCTGAATTCATGTTCTTGGAGTCATTCAGACTATTTCCATATAATATTGTTTAATGTCTATGGGAACAATAGTTACATTCTTTCATTTCTGATAATGGTCATTTTTGTCTATTCTTTCTTTTTCCCCCTCTTCATTGTCTTGCTAAAGACTGATCAATTGTACTAGTGCTTTGGAAGAACCAGTTTCTAAGGGCACCTGGGTGGCTCAGTCAGTTAAGCTTCTGACTTCAGCTCTTGTCATGATCCCTCAGTCCAGGAGTTCAAGCCCCACATTGGGCTCTGTGCTGACAGCTCGGAGCCTGGAGCCTGCTTTTGGATTCTGTGTCTCCCTCTCTCTCTGACCCTCCCCTGCTCATGCTCAGTCTCTATCTGTCTCTCAAAAATAAATACAGGTTTAAAATTTTTAAAAAAATACACATTTAAAGAATCAGTTTTTGGTTTCCTTGTATTCTCTATTGTTTTTAATGTCATTGCTCTTGCTGTTTTTTATTTCCTTCCTCACCACCCCTCACCCCGCTTGCTTTGGATTAAACCTGCTCTTGTATTTTTAACAGAAAAGAATACATTGCCATCATGATATTGATACAATACTGAAAATTTTGACTGTAGGATTAGTGACAAGGAAACTTCAATAATGTCCCAAGAACAAGTCATGCACCGAAGCAGCAAAAGAGTACATTTCCTATATCTGGAATCTAAACAATATGACAATTCGCATTCTTAGGGATAAAAATGAATATCCTAAGGGAAATTCCTTACGAAGTTCTTCATTAATTTTATGATGGAAATTTTATCATAGACAATTTCTGGTCTCTGATGCCTAGCACACGAGGCCCCTTAACACAACTGCATCACCTGCCTTCAGGTCTAATTATTCCATTCTGTCTTCATACCTGCACACTGGTTTTTCTTAAACATTTACCACATAGTTTATTAATACAATTCATATCAAGGCATATATTCCCAAGCTTTTCTGTCCTTAATAATGACAACATGGCAAGAACAATTTGTTAAGCCATTTATCTCACCCAAGACTTGCTGAAAATGGGCCTGGCAATCTCCACCCTTCAAGGAAATAACAGGTAATTCTTCCATGGAAGAAAAAACTAAGTACTATGAGTTATTAGAATATTGTATAATTGAATCTGTTTGATATGCATTAATTTCTTCCCCCCCAAACAATGGGGCACTTTTGAGGGTGAAATAGAATGCCCTTTCATTTCCTTTGGTATTAATATGGCTTGCCATGGAATGAGTATTAAGGAAGATATATCCCATTAAAACTCAAATTGAAATCATTTATTTTGTATTATTCCATTGTTTTTTGTATGGAATAATAATTTAATGTTCACTGTGGCCCTGACTGAAAGTCAAGCTCAGGCACAATTAGGACATGGCTGGGCTCCCGCCAATGATGTTACACTCAGATAAGAAGGTTGGACATGGTGGGGATGGGGGAAGACATGGGGGACAGGGCAAGAGGAACTCATAAATAGGGCCCAGCCTGGGTCAGAGTTCAAGGGTGGAGGCGGCTGCTGTGTGGGCTAGGTGGTAATTTTGTATTTTTAAATCATGCATGTTTTTAGCTATGTTCATAAGCATCATTGTCAAGCATTTATCATTCAATGCCTTAAATATGCCATTATGATTAGACATTTAAATTGTTCCCAACCTTTTATTATTATAAATGATGATATAATAAATATCTTCATTCTTAAAGCATTTTGCACTTTTAGAGTTATGTATTCTTCAGTATTCCCCAAGTAACAATACATAGGTGAATAGATATATTACTTTTGAAAACACCTATATTCCTTTACTCATTATAACTATATATACATATATATAATACCACATATATACATACATTTATTACTCAAACTATTGTTATTAAATAAGAACTATATCCACATATTAGAAGCCAGTGCTAGGTATTACATTGGAAAAGTGGGAGCATTCCTCTTTGTATCATAGCCCCTACAAAGTGGAAAGCAGTATTCAGTGTCCAATAAGTACATGGAAGTTTGTAGAATTCCCTGAACTGCGAAGAATTGAAAACAGATGAGTAAGGGAAGGTGGTGGAAGGAAGCATGTTACAGGCTTTGTTTTTACATCTAACCAGGCTTATAGTTCAAATATTGGGGGGGAAAATGAAGACATAGAAACCTGAAAATAGACTAGCTTAACAAATGGCAAATATTACTTAACATTTATATCTAACTGGACTGATTTCATTTTTAAACTTTAAGTAGTAACCTGTGAAACCTTTCTCAATTTTTGAATATTAATTAAATATTACTTTTTGTTATTTGTTTAAGTTTATTTACCTATTTTCAGAGGGAAAGAGAATCCCAGACAGGCTCCACACTGTCAGCACAGAGCCTGACATGGGGCTAAATCTCATGAACCATGAGATCAAGACCTGAGCAGAGATCAAGGGTCTGACACTTAACTGACTGAGCCACCCAGGTGTCCCTAATTAAATAGTATTTAAATGGACAATAAGTCATCAGCTTTGCTTCTGGACTGATGTCATCAATGGTTTCTTTTCCCTCGCCTACTTTCCCCAGTTAATAGAGTTGATCACATTGAATTTTGGTTGCTGATTGCCTGTTTCTTGCACAACTACAATGGCTTACTTCACCACAATGTTATCAATAGTGAGCTCCCTGGTTTAACAAGTTTGAACTGTTGCAAATTTGATAAGTACCATAAAGAGCAATAGAGGTTTATCTTTGTTACATTTGTGAGAAATTTTATTGTCAAGCTAATTTATATCCATACATTTAGTAACCCAGCTAGCCTTCCAAACATACCTGATAGGAGAGTTCCTCTGATCTGGATCTGTGGCAGAGACCATGCCTACAAATGATCCTTGTGGTCTTCCTTCGAAGGTTTCAAATAGGTAATACGGATGGAGGAAAACTGGAGGTTCATCTTCATCTTCCACCTGGACCTTAATGAGGGTGGTGGACACTTCAACGTGGTATTTCATGAGCTGCTCATCAACATGGCGGTTTCTAACACTCGCTCTAATACGATAGTCATTCTGGTACTCAAAATTCACTTTCTACAAAAACATACAGTGTACACAAGAAGTGGCTTTAGTAACCTAAGTCAATACTTGGGGAAAAAAATGTTTGAGTTGTTAACTCTCAGTTGCTTTTCAGTTAAATTTTGCTCTTTATGTACTTGGTTGGATGCCTCTGATATTATCATTAAGCAGCTGCATAGAAAATCCCTCTATGTGTTTTGTTATTTACATCTAATGTTTTGCAATAATAACTATTTTAAATTTAGGATTTAAATTATAATTTTCTGTTCATAAATGTATTATGGAATTGAGAATTAATTTATTTTAAGATCTTTCCAAAAAGTTTGTCCTCTAAAATCTTATAAAAACAAAAATAAAAACCAAAAGACTATTCTTTAAGTAATTTGAGACTCTGTAATAACTCTCTCATCTCTAAGCTCCTTTGCTCCCTAAATCATAAATCACAGGTTCTCATTTTAATTACTTAATAAAGCAATAATTAACTAGCTAAACAAAATAATTTCAAGTGTTTCTGATTTGAATGTTATTATTCTGCAAAGTAAATGTTGTTCATACATCTACCTTTTTTAATATCACCATTCCTTCTTGTGTGTCATTATTAGTAATTATGTCAAATGTTTGGGAATCATCTTCAACGCTGTAATCCATCTCTGCATTCTCTCCTATGTCATTATCATATGCCATGATTTTTCCTATAGAAGTCCCAGTGGGTGCAGATTCAGAGACAGTCAAGCGATACAAACCTTTAAAAGCAAAATTCAAGAGATATCACACAAATAATAAATATAAGAAACTCCCAAATACAGCACGCCTTTTTGCAGACTATGAAAACCCATACCCTCACATTCTATCAATTACCTTTTTAAAATCAATATCTACCTATCTATTGATCTGATCTATCTATTTATCTATCTATTTATCTAACCATCTATCTATCATCTATCTACCTATCACCTATCTATATATACTTTCTTTAGTTTTGTAATCTGTATTTTATTTTCCCTAATATCCTACTTGAGCATCTATTATTTAGTCTCAAATATACCTTTGGAAGTCCTATCACCAGTACATACATTTTCCAAATTTCTATTCATATGCATACTTCGTCAATAGTTTTGAATTTATTTATTATGTCCTTCAACCAGCTGAACTGATAAAAAGAGTTTTCAATTTTACTGAAGCATTCTCTGATACCTAAAGTAATCAGTAAATGTAAGTGTGGATTAAAGATGAGAAAGACTAAGACAAATAAGTGAACTCTAAGTGTGATAGTTTGATTTTTAGATTCTGAGTCTGAGTGCATCGGCCATAGTGGGAATGAAGACAAACAAACAAAAGAGATAGATCCGCGGGAGTGAGTGAGTGGATGTCATAGGACAACCATGCTGGAGTCACACGACCATCTTGTTTTCGTCATGTGACAATAATGGCAGTTATTTTGAACTACATAAATATAGATATAAATAATTGAGCTCTGTTTGCTTTATTTTTCAGAATTGACTTATATAAAACTGATAAAGAGTTAGCTATTTGTAAATTATTATTTGTGATTTATGTTAAACTGTGGTAAATAATCATATATGTCAATATTCTAAAGAACGTAACTTTGTAGAATTTTAAAAAGAGTATATAATAGAATTTTTCTTTAAAGATATTCTTGATGTTTTGAGGTGCCTGGGTGGCTTTGTTGGTTAGGTGTCAAACTTTGGCTCAGATTATGATCTCACAGTTCGTGGGTTTGAGCCCCGCGTGGGTCTCTGTGCTGACAGCTCAGACCCTGGAGCCTGCTTCGGATTCTGTGTCTCCCTCTCTCTGCCCCTCTCCTGCTCATGGTCTGTCTCTCTCTTTCTCTCTCAAAAATAAATAAACATTAAAAAAGTAATAAAAAACGGGGGCGCCTGGGTGGCTTAGTCGGTTCAGCGTCCGACTTTCGCTTAGGTCATGATCTCGCGGTTCGTGGGTTCGAGCCCCGCGTCGGGCTCTGTGCTGACTGCCAGCTCAGAGCCTGGAGCCTGTTTCAGTCTGTGACTCCCTCTCTCTCTGACCCTCCCCTGCTCACGCTGTCTCTCTCTCTCTCCTAGAAATAAATAAAACATTTTTTAAAAAAGTAATAAAAAACAGATTCTCAACTTTTTTTAGAAGTAGAGAGAAAGTCACTTCACAGATTGCCTTCTGAGATTGTCCTTCCTTCTTTTTTTTAACATGGAAGAAATGTGATTTAAAAGTTGCCAATATTTTACTATTTTCACAAAGTAACAGCTTAACTATGCTTAGTGTCCCCCCCTCCCCCACTGTGGGAAAATAGTTGAGAAAATATAATTTCAGGAAGAGGGAATAGCAAGCCAAAAGACCACCAAGCCAATGACAGAGAGTAGGTCAATTGCTTAGCATCGGTTTGTCCAGGAGCAAAGGCTAGAATGCTAATATATGAGCTACCAGAGGTAATGGAACAGGACTGGATGATGACAAATTATAGGACAATGAAGGTTATATTAAGGCCTCTGAGTTTTTCTGAGTGACATGGTAAGACATTTAAATGATATGATCTGACATGGATTTCGACAAAATCACCAAAGTTGTGCTGGGCATAGAAAAGAGGAAAACAAAGGTGGGGATGGAGAGACCAGATGGGAGCCAAATTAAGAGGGTGGTATGATCCAAGGTTGCAAATGGAAGTTGGTGAGAAGTATTTAGATTATGGATATTTTTAAAAGATAGCCTAAAGGATCATAGATGATTGAGTTTCGGATATGAGAGAAAGAACAGCCAGGAAGGTGACTTTCAAAATCTTAAACAAAATAAGTTCCTATTATCAGGAGAGAGAAAGAGAGAGTGTGAGAGAGAGAGAGAGAGCGCGCGCATGCGTGCATGTGCTCATGCTCACAGAATATTGAAAATCATGAAAAACTGATCATTAATTCAGTCTGGGTTAGAAATTAGAATTGACCTAAATTTGACTCAGTGCAATCTGAGTTGGATTGTTGGAATTGAACTGAATTAGAATTGAATGGGTGAGATTTTGCCCTGAGCAATATGAAGGTTGGGAAAATCTGTAGAAAGAGAGTTATATGGGGAGGCAGGCATGATCAGGAACCCAAATATATGTCAAGTGTGAATGTATATAACTTATACATGAAGATATTGAGTAGATGGTTGGGTGTACAAATGTGGGATTCATAGGACAAGTGCATATGAGAGGTGTATACTTGGCAGTTGTCAGCATAGAAGCAACGTTTAAATCACGTGACTGTAAGGAAACACAATGGAGTGAATGTGAAGAGAAATGTGGTCCTAAGGCTTGATACTGGAAATACACCAAAGCTTAAAGTATGTAGAGATGAAGAGGAACCACAGAAGGCTGTTAATGTGACCAGTGAGATAGAAGAAAAGGCACATAAGGATAGAGTCATCCCTGTCAAATTCCTGCTGAAAAATCAAATCATATTAACACTGAGAATTGATTGGATTTAGTTGCGCATAGATTATGGATAGAATTGACCAGATCAGTTTGGCCAAGTAGTGTTGGTGAAGCCTTGACTGGAGTGGGCTGCGGAGAGTTAAATAGACAGTAAACAGGATGATGAGTTGGATAACTCTTTAAAAATTATTTTCTCTCAAGAAAAAATGAAGCATGATCAGCTAGATATGACAGTGGAATCAATAACTATTTATTTTATTTTTTTTATTTTTCAGAGGAAAACAACCACCACCACAGTGTGAATGCTAATAGTGATTAATGGGCAGAGACAATGCCCTTGTCTGCAGGGTCAGGGAAGACTGCATATCGGAGGAGATACATATTACATCGTTCAGTGCAGAGGAGGGCTATGGGATTACAATAAGAGAAAGTAGTGTGAACACAAGTTAGGAGGCCAGCATGCTTCTATTTTAGAAGAATAGGCAATACATATATTTTCCCATGACTATGGTGTGGGAAGAAAATAGAGAAGACTATAGAGTGAGGTACATTTACGGTACTAGAACAATGTTCACCTACACTCAGATGTGAAGGTAGTAATGCTATCATCTTGCATGAGGATTCTGGGTATCTACAAGAATTTTAAAAACTATTTAAATGTTCTAGTTTATTCAGATATATATAAATTATAGATATCATATATACATTGTTATTTATATTATGTTTATCAATGTTAATAGAAATTATATATATAGTTATATATACACATTGTTATGTATTATATATAGTGATGTATTATATATACATATTGTTATATAATTTTACATGCACAATGAAAAATATATATGTGTGAGAGTACAATGTTGATGTTGAGAAAAATTAAAAGAAATAAGGATGGCAGGAGAAGCTTGACGGGAATTTTGTCTCAACAAAAATCCCTTGGGAGTTCTGTCTTCTGGGGTCTTCAACTTGTGATTTCCCCTACATTTGAATAAAACATAGACTAGATATATTCCATATATTCATCTCCTATTTTTCTACATTTATTATTTGAGAATCATTTTGTAAAGTCCTGGGTAGTTCAGATAGAATTACACATTATCTTCTTGTCCATAGGACACATACTTTGTAGAGATAGTCACATACATAATACCTTCCTTTTTTAACATTTTTTAAAATTTATTTTTGAGAGAGAGATAGAGACAGCATGAGCAGGGGAGGGTCAGAGAGAGACAGAGACACAGAACTGAAGACAGGCTCCGGGCTCTAAGCTGGCAGTCAGCACAGAGCCCAATGTTGGGCTAGAAATCCACGAACCATGAGATCATGACCTCAGCTGAAGTCGGACGCATAACCGACTGAGCCACCCAGGAGCCCCACGTGATACCTTTTATAGCCAGGAGATGAAGGTTACAAACTGTTGCTCTGTTGCCTAAATTCCATCTAAGGATAAACCGTTTTACTGACTCATAAAGAAATGAGGAGATGCTGCTCAAATGGCATAAAGTTGCAATTATGGAGGATGAATACATTTAAAACACCTAGTGTAAAGTGTGGCGACTATAGTTAATAATACGATATTGTATAATGGGAATCTCCTGAGAGAACATCTCAGGTGCTCTCATCACACACGCACACAAGCGAACGATGTGAGGAGGTGGATATGTTAATTAGTTTGACTGTAATAATAATGTCACTATGTATATAATATAAACACATCATGTTGGGGCACCCAGTTGGTTCAGTTGGTTGCGTGACTTTGGCTCAGATCATGATCTCATGCTTCATGAGTTCTGGGCCTTGTCATATATATATATGGATATATATATATCCAGGCCTTGTTATATCTATATATAAAATCATAGGTGATTATAGAAATGTGTGAATTTTTGTTCCTGTTCTTAGTCTAAATATATTGAATAAAGGTAACATAAAAATTAAAAAAGTAATTATTTTAAATCATCACTTGTAGTAAGTAGAAAAGTGAATTCCTCAAAATATCTGTGTTCTAATACCCCAGAATGTATGAATATATTATGTAAGGTGGCAAAAGGGAACCCAGGTTGCAGGTGGAATTCATATTGCTAATCAGCTGACCTTGAGATGTGGAGATTGTCTTGGTTTATCCAAGTGGACTCAATCTAATCACATGAATCCATAAAAGTGAAGAAGAGTCAAAAGTGTGGTTTGGAGACATGGCAATGTGTGGAGGATTTGACACCGTTTTGTGTCTGAGGTGTGTTGAGTTATATACAAGAACCAGAAAGACGCCTTAAGGAGCTAACAGTGTCCTTCAGCTGACCGCCATCAAGGAAACAGAGCCCTTATTCCTACAAACATAAAAACTGAATTTTGCCTATAACTAAATCCAAAGAAATGGAATCTTCCCTAGATCCTCTCAAAAGGAAAACAGTCCTACAAACATCTTGAACTTCATCTGGTGGCATCTGTGACAGATTTCAATAAGGTTTAACAATTTGCTTAAGACAGGAGGTTTGTGGAAATTGTTATAGAAGTAGTTTAAGAAAACACATTACCCTCTCATTTGTATTTGGCTTTTCACACTAATTAATCATACCTTCAATAAATTAATAAATTTATTTTATATAGTTCTAATGCTGTTGCAGTGCTTTAGATGCAAACCCTAACATCTGCATGTATTTAGCACATGTACAGTTATGTTATAATGAAAATTCACGATGTTGTCTACTTACTTTCCTTAAATATAGGTTTATTGTCATTAATATCAGAAAGTTTAATTAATACACTTGTTGTTCCAGACAGTGCTCCGGGCTGACCAATCAGATCTTTGGCTTGAATAATTACCCAATACTCATCTTGCAGTTCTCTATCCATTTTAGAAGATATTCTTACGACTCCTTAAGAAATGTAATAAAACTTCAATTATTATTTCATTATTAACCATGGCATCTTCCTAGTTAATTTCTTAATCATACAATCATTCTTTTGATACATTTTAAATGACTACAATGCTCTAGACTAGACATTGGCCTGGAGAAAAAATAACAATGAAAATAATAAGTTAAATACCACTCTACCTGGAATTTAGAATAGTCATCACAATACTAAGAACACTAGTAGACCCCTAATAAAATACTACATTAATATAATCCTTGAGTAGAAAAGAGGAATGTCTTACTTTTACCTCAAACTATCTTCTGCTATCTCCTCTAACATAATGTCAGTGTGCTACAATTAACTTTTCCTTTAAATTTGAAAGAAGTTAATTATTAGTAAATGTGTAAATTACAACACCAAATTTATGCAAGATATATTGTGCACCTGTGATGTTAAAGTCTATTTTAAGTTATGATATATGAAGAAGGATTTGTTTTTGACCGACAGTTATTCATAATACAGATAAATCTATACACAGATTTCAAACTCAAGATGGATGATAATAAATGCGATAAATATGCTATATTTATTCTATAAAATTCTATATTTTAGAAAATATTCTATAAAATGATTTGGACAAAAAATTATCACTGGAAAAAAAAAACTAGGAAAAGGCAGTGAAGTGGACACGAGGGTTCTGGGCTAGACTTTGGGGCCATGAACACAAACATGAGAAAGAGAATGGCCAATCCTCAATGTATCTGTGGAAGAGTGTTCATTAAAAAATTGTGAGCCCTGTAAAAACAGAAAAGGTTATGTTGGACCATACTATGATAGCAGTTGAATTGTGGACTAAAGTGTTTTATAACTGTAATCTGTTAGATGGATCCCTATAGAAAACACTGAATGTATTAAAGACACTGCCAGCATTCTGCCTATGTTTGACCCCAGAGAGAAGTGGAAGTGAAGGTGTATCCCATTGTGGTTTTACTTTGCATTTCCATGACTACCGACATTGAGCATTGTTTTAATATGCTTGCAGGCTTTCTGTGGATCAAAGTTTGGTCAATCTCTTTAAAGGTCCTTCATCATATTTTTAAATTGTTTTTTTGTTCTTTTTCTCATTGTTTTGTCACATCTTTGCATCTGTTTTATACCTTATATACAAATGATTGGTAGTATAGATTCGGAAAATTCAATCTCTGAAAGTTAGAAAAATCAGCTGAAAGACTAAAAAGAATTAAGTGCTTAAAATACAACCCATGTATTTATTGAAACATCAGGTCCACTGTACAGAATGTTTGTAAGCAGATAATTTTTTGCTCTGATATTTGCCTACTTAGAATCCTGTTGAATTGCACTTTATTTCACTTAGAAATACCTGTTGTTGGTTCAATGGAGAAATAGGGCTGGCCTTGAAGTAAACTGTATAGGAGACGAGCATTATTGCCACTTGAAGGATCATCAGCATCATTTGCCGTCACCTGGATGACTAATGTTCCTGAAAAAAATATGAATAGTAACAAGAAACAAAGAAATTAATAGTAACAACAAATAATTAAGAAATTATTGAACAATGAATTCAGTTCTATATGGCATTTTCTCTTTAGCAAGCAAGGTGAAGACTTGCAATGAAAAAACAGCCCTCCTTGTTTAGAATTATAAAACTGGTATCATTCTGTAGCCCTAATCATGTATATATATGAATTACATATACAATGTAGAATTTTAAGCAGAAACCAAAGTTATAATAAAGTGTAATTGTTTAACAATCCATTACAAGGTCTAACTCAGGATCTTCAAAAGTGTGTTATGTTATTAGTGGAAGAATCAAAAGGAAATTGGAAGCCGTTTACTTTAAAAATCATACTGTGAACGGCAACTCACAAAAGTCACAGAATATTGCTAAAAATGAATAAAAACTATTGAAGTGAGCTTGAAATAGTATCAAGTTGAGGATGGGCACAAGTATCTTCCTTGTTTAATTCCCTTCTATAGCATACTTACTTATGTTGAAGAATTCCTTTTTTTTTTTTTTTTTGGTATAGTACAAAGCAAAATCTTGTCTCATATTGATACCATAAAATGTTCTTATTGAAGTTAAATAACAATCAATAAGACACAATGGGAAGTATTTGTACAAGTTAATGCTTAAATTAAACATAATTTCTTTAAAAGTATCTTTACGTAAAGCTGGAATAGCATTATAGGTCTTATTGGAAATCTGCATTTATGGAAACATTATGTTCTGTGTCAATAAGAATGGCGACTAGAACATCACAGAATCAAATAGTCTATGTGATTTTTCTTTACAACTACCCATCAGTAATATTTCCATTACAATCTTGTCTTATAAACTGAGACATTGTAATAGGAAGCCCTTCTATTCTTCAGTAATAAAATTGTTGAAACTTTTACCATGGCCTTCAAATATATGTAGTATTTGCTCTTTTGTCTTAGTATTTTATTAGTTATCTAATACTTGTTTTATACTGTACAACCACTCAAAATGTAAACAACTTAGGTTCAAGTGCTTTACAATACATTCCTTTCAATTGTGATGACATAAATGGACCTTAAGGGCATTATGCTGAGGAAGATAAGGCAGACAGAAAAAGACAAAGATAAGATATCACTTATCTTATTCTATTACTAGAAACAGAGTAAATTGCTGGTTCACAGAGACTGGGAGAACAGGGTCAATGTTGATCAAACCCAACAAAGTTGCAGTTAGGAAATGAATAAGTTCTGGAGAGCTAGTGCACAACGTGGTGATGATAGTCCACAATATTGTATCATATAAAGTTGCTAAAAGACTTGATCTTAAATGATCTTCCTTGCTCACAGGCACACAAAAAGACATGATGTGATGAAGATGCTATCAATGCTATCTAATGCTAATATCATTCTAATGATCTGATTATATTTTCTTTAGTTGTTTACTGCTTTTTCATTACATCACAATTCATTAAATACAGGTTAGACAACTTTAGTTCCTCTTAGATATTTTCCAAAAGGTTTTTCTAAAAAAAAGTCAAAAGAGAGGGCTGCCTGGCTGGCTCAGTTGTTTGAGCAGCTGACTTTGACTCAGGCCATGATCTTAGGGTTCATGAGTTTGAGCCTCACATGGGCTCCCTGCTGTCAGTCCTGAGCCTGCTTCAGATCCTCTCTTTCCTCTCTCTCTGCCCCTCCCCTGCTGTGCTTTCTCCCTCTCTCAAAAATAAATAAAACATTAAAAGAAAAGTCAAGAGAAAAGCTTATATATTTTCCTAATCAGAAATTTAAATACTGTGGAAATCTTCAATAAATAGTCAAGTAACATAAACCATAATAATAAACATTGGAGCAATCAAAAATTTTTTTAAAAACTTTTGATATGATTTTTTAATATATATGTTTTCCATTTATGTTTTCCTTGTCACTTGTAAGAGAATCCATATGTATGTTCACTTGCAGTTAGGTATTAGCTATATATTACACAAATAATTACAACAAAAAATCACTGTAAGACCAATAATATGTCCTTCAATGAAAAAAATCAATAATTGTTCCAAAGTCCACCCCTCCCCTCCTCCTTCTGTTACCAGTTACATGTAGGTAAAGGGACACTTGGTGGTTGAGACAAATAACTGGTTAATTCTTATTCACTGTTATACAAACATATTGTAACCTTTCCTTTATCTGTCAGTAATATCAGAGCTGCATTACTCACATCTGAATCAAAATGAACAGCACTGAGATGCACCTTTCCTATATAGCAGCACTGCCAGACTTACATAATCACTGCTTTTATAACATGATTATTGTTTACTGCAAGAATCACTCTGGTCAGTTTTCTGAGGACTGTGGCTCCAGTCTCTTGGGCATCCCATTTCCTACCAACAACCCACCCATCACTATAAATTGAAGTTGGTTCTGAAATATTACAGAGATTATTCTAGATACAAACATAGTTCAAATAGACCCAAGTCAGTGTACTGATGGAACTGTTTAAAAATGTCTGTTTTCATAGGAGAAGGCATTTTGAATTTTTCATTACAAAACTTCAAGGATATGTTGACATTAGCAAATGAACCTATATAATTTGTGGCATTAAAGGCTTAAAAAAGAAAAACATAAAACAAAAATTCTTATTAGATATATAAAACACATCTGAAAATATTCTATTTCCATTTGCAATAAGAACTCAGGGAATTAGGAGAAAAAGACAATGTCTTAAATCTGATAGAGGGTGTTTTTTTTTTTTTTAATATTTTTTATTTATTTCTAGGAGAGAGAGAGAGAGAGAGAGAGAGCGTGAGCAGAGGAGGGTCAGAGAGAGAGGGAGTCACAGACTGAAACAGGCTCCAGGCTCTGAGCTGGCAGTCAGCACAGAGCCCGATGCGGGGCTCGAACCCACGAACCGCGAGATCATGACCTAAGCGAAAGTCGGACGCTTAACCGACTAAGCCACCCAGGCGCCCCTGATAGAGGGTGTTTTTAAACTTTGACAGCAATCATATTTACTTGTGAAATATTAAAACATTTGCTTCTGAAGTAGTTAAAAAGCAAGAAGTTTATTATCACTATTTTTGGTAGCATTGTAGTAAACCTCCGAGACAATGAAATGAGGCAATGCCATGTATACAAAAATGAATGATTAAAAATGATGACAGGGGAGCCTAGGTGGCTCAGTCAGTTTAGTATCTGACTTTGGCTCAGGTCATGATCTGACGGTTCATAAGTTTGAGCCCTGTGTCAGGCCCTAGCTGACAGCTCAGAGCCTGGAGCCTGCTTCGGATTCTGTGTTTCCCTCCATCTCTGCCTCGCACTTGCATACACTCTGTCTCTCTGTCTCTCAAAAATGAATAAACATTAAAAAACGTTTTTTAATTACAATAATGATTCAAAGGTAATACTATTTTGTTAGAAAATCAAGCAGAATACACATATAAAAAAGCTTCACAGAATATTAAATCATTAAACTAGCAAGGTTACAGGAACACAAAAGATGCACCCAAGTCCATTTTTTATTTATACCAGAAATAAATACGTATATAATATTTCAATTAAGTACATAATATGTATAAGAAATAAATATACTCAGGAATATCTAAACAAAAAATTATTAAAGACCTCTACAAAGAAAGTAAAGAGAAATTGATGATCAAAAGTGGACAAAAATACTGGGCTTATGAAATCACTACATAGAAATATCAACAAATAGATCCATAGTGTAAATGCCATCATCATCAAATTTCTAGCAAGTTGTATTACTGGCTAAATTAAAAAGATGACTTGAAATATTCATGGAAATTCAAAGGATCAAGCAAGGCCAAGACACCTTGGTGAAGAACATCTGGAAAGTTTGCACTAATAGAGAGCAGGGCTTATGACTCTACTATGGCCCACAGAGCAACAAAAGATAACAATACTGACTAGAGATTCAGAAACAATATACATATATGGAGAGTTCATGCATGCAATGATGGCATCGTTGAGCGCTGGAGAATCATTTGAATAAATGCTGCAGCATCAATTGGATATCTCCACCCATTTATACTTCCATCAGTCATCTCTCTTTTGATCTAGAATTTGACACGTGCTTTACACCATTCACAAAAAATGATTTAAAATAAATTATAAATATAAATGTGAAAGGTAAACAATACAAATATAACAGAATAATGAAACTTCCATAAAGATAGGAATTATTTTGAATAACATCAAGGAAAAAAGAAAACAAAAGCCAACATTTCTTAATTAGGATTGGGTGATTGATAACCTGATATTTGTCTCAACGCACAAATCCCTGTTTTTATTAGACATACTCATTTGTACGTTTTTCCCAGCCTGCATTGGTTGCTCTTACCTGACTGAAATCACTTTCAATAGAATAGTATTGTTAACAGCGTTATTCATCAGTGCAAGAAGTATGGTACATGCCATACATACAAACTAACCTGTTTAGTGTCTTCATTCCTTTAGTCAACACTTTATTCTGCTCTCACTAAAACCTGATAAAGTCGGTTTGACTACATTAATGGATCAAAAATTAGAGTTTCTTGGGGAGCCTGGGTAGCTCAGTCAGTTAAGTCCTACTTTACCTCAGGTCATGATCTCGCAGCTCGTGAGTTCGAGCTCTGTGCTAACAGCTCAGAGTCTGGAGGTTCCTTCAGATTCTTTGGCTCCCTCTCTCTCTCTCTGCCCCTCCCCTGCTTGTTCTCTGTCTCTCTCCCTCTTGAAAACAAGTAAACATTTAAAAATGTTTAAATTAAACTTTATTTAAAGTATATGCTAGTAATAAAGTTATTTCCAAAGGACAAATGATGTATACATGTACAGCAATGATGTACATTAATTCCCAAATAAGTGACAACTGTTACCAACAAGAATCCTATGACCTGAACCACTGATTTAGTAAGTCCTCTGATCTGGGGGTCTGATTTACTAAATATGACACATTAACAGAATCGTCAGGTATGGGCACCTAACATTTGTGTGAACAATGGCACAGCTGCA